TGTCAGGTTCAGTATTAAATATGTGGACGATACAACAGTGGTGTGTCTCATCAGGGACAACTGGCCTACATAGAGGAGGTGAAACATCTGGTGGACTGGTGTGATGCAAACCATCTAATCCTGAATGCCAACAAGTCAAAAGAAATTGTTGCTGATTTCAGGAAAAATCAGCCAAGTCACACACCCCTCCTCATCAATGATGAGCAGGTCAGCAGCATTAAACTCCTGGAAATACAGATCACTGATACTTTGACCCGGTCCCTCCAAACATCTGGTCTGGTTAAGAGAGATCAGCAACGTCTGCACTTTTTACATCAGATGAGAAGAGCAAACCTCCCTCCTCCCATCTTCACCACTTTCTACAGTGGGATAATAGAGAACATACTGACCAGCAGTATCTCTATCTGCTTTGGAGCATCTAACATGTCGTGAAAACTGGCATAAGGTGGTGAGATCTCTCCAGGTACACGCAGAAAACGGAGCATAAAGGCCTGAGAAATAACAGTAATCTTGCATATTGATTTAATGATGATTAAAGATTAATAAAAATACATACATATGTAATGGTCGGAATAATCTATAATGTACATTTGAGATATATATTCTGTATTCGTGATCTGAATAACAGTAACAATTTGATTGTTGTGTGATGATTATTGAAGTGGTGTATGATGATTATTGATGATTAGAAACAGTAACAGCTTGAGTTACAGAATAGATAAATAATGAAGAATCATACTGAGAGTTATAAGCTGATACAATGACAAATTGTTTATGTTTTACAATTACAGAATCATGTTTTATAATAAAATAAAGAAATGTGATGACTGAAGATTTGAGATCGTGAGAAATGAAGGCAGGTTCTGTTCTCGGACTGTGTCGCAATTAGGCGGGGGCGCTGGGGAGGCTCAAAAAGTGAAGTAATGGCCAGATGGCCAGTAGAAAAAGGGAAGTACCGAAGAGAGTTGCTGCAATGAGTCACAGAAGAGATGATGGTTGGGAAAGGTTGGGGCTTTCCACATACTCATCGGAATGTTCCAGAAGTCACGTAGACCTCTCCCATACACAACCATGGGCTGAGAGGGTATAAAAACCAGCAGACAAGGGAAGAAACTGTTCTTTGTCCGCGGCGCTGAAGGAGAACCAACAAGAGGACGCAGATTGAAGACCAGCAGAGGACCGCAACCTGGAACCAAGGGGAAGTTGAGACTTCACGCCGCTAAGAAGGGACAAGATCCATCTGCCCCCAGCCCTGGTTCCTGATTCGACCAACACCTCTGCCTCAACCCAACGATCCCCATCCTACTGCAGCAGACTTGGAGAAAAGACAAAGGTCACTGATTGACGAAGATCTGTGCGTTTGAAGGACAACGGACAGTTCTGCTTTGCTTCTATTCTGAAAGGGGACTTTGCCAAGTCAGGACAAAGACTCTGACCAAGGACATCTGAAAATTTCTGCTGCTGGGATCAATTGCCATCGGGGTGTGAGTTGAACGGCCCCCCAAGAGCCTCGCTTAGTTAAACTAGTGACACAGGATAGGGATAGAAATGAAGATAGGTTGTAATTGATTTAAGTTGAATTTATTGTCTTATTGCAAATTTATAATACCTGAAAGTTAATCTGCTTGTCACTTATCCCTGCTAAAGCTTGCTTAATAAAATTACATACTAAAAATTCCAATGAAACTTGTGGGCATTGAGATTAATTGAGTCATTTGATCATTGTAATTTCCCCTGATTGCAGTAAAATTAGTGTACATGATTCTAGAGATGTGGTGGCTTCGTACTTTCCTTTGGTGAGTGTAAAAATAATGACCCTGGGACTTAAGTCTAAGTCACTAAATCTAATCTAGCCATTAACAAGTGCCGTTATTTTAAGGAAAAGAGCTACCGTTAACAGGAGTGGTTGTTGAAGCTATGCAGTGGTGAGGGCTACTCTGCTGACTGTCTCTCAACTGAAAAGGGTCATAACTTCAGGATTGTAGGTAGTTAGAGCTAGACGAGTCTTTTCCGCCACCAGTTCAAATAGAATATCTCATATAAACCGACGTTGGGGTAAGACCTGGGTTTCAAAGATTTTCCGGACCTGTTAGATAGAGAACTGGTCAGTAGTCAGTCGAATGAGTGGTGAGATAAGGGCGGGGCTGGCTATTGCGTAATAACAAACAAACACCTCTGACTAGCAACGTATAGAGACAGTGGTGAGGACAGCTGAGAGAATGATCAGGACTGAGCTTCCTTCCATCTTTGACACCGATGGTAGTTGTTGCCTGTCCAGGGCTCGGCTGATCACAAAAGACCCCTTCAACCCACAGCATGGTTTGTTCTCCCTGCCTCCCTCTTGTAAAAGATTCAGCAGCTTCAAATGCAGAACAACCAGCTTCCACAACAGCTTCATCCCTGACATGACACTGTCATTAACATGACATAACACCTGTTATGATCAAGGAGTCTTTATGAATGTCTATGACTGTTGTCATGAATCTGGTGTCATTTGGTAAATCACAATTTTAATGCAAAATTGCTCTAAAAGTTGCCTTGAAAGTCCATTAAAAGTTCCAATAAGTGTCATTATTTACAAAATAATGCAAAGTCAGCACTTTTAATGCAACTTTTAAAGCAGCTTTGCACTAAATTCTGACACAGTTTTGTGTACATGGGTGTCATTATTCACTGAATGACTCTTCATAACAGTCATGTCAACAATATTTCTTTTAATATGTACAATTTTAAATATACAATTGAATGACAATAAAATATGTCTATGTCTATCTAAGTATGTATGTTTAATGTCATTAAGAAAGACTGTTTTTTTGTTTATTTTTAATATGTATTTTTTTTCCTAAATTAGTTTTCGGTTCAACTTTATATGTCAGGAAATACATTGTTGATTTTACCATTATGCACTTACAATAAAGTAATTATTGGCATAGCTCAATTTAATTTTTATATTGAGGTTGTGGAGGGTTGTTATCAGCAGCTGCTGAAGGTAACTAATAAAGTAACTTGTAATCTAATTTAGTTACTTTCCAAATCAAGTAATCAGTAAAATAATTAAGTTACTTTATCAAGTAGTCCAATTAAAGTTACCTTTTCAAGGTAACTATGCCATCACTGGCACTATCTATACATACAGTGCAGATTTTACTACCAGATCAAGTGTGAGGTTTACTGTGCTTGCCCACAAATGTTCGAGTCATTTTAGTCAATTTTTAGCAATGTATAACAATTGAGAAACATAGTAGATTTGTATAACTATGTTATTTACATTTTAAACCTTTTCCAAAACTACAACAGGTTGTTTTATATGATGCCAAATACATCATGGAAAACTAAAGCCCCCTCAAATTGAAGTAGGGATAGGAATAAACTAGTAGGGATAGAAACAGCTGAGTTTCATGTCTCAGCTCTCTAAACTCCTGAGATAGGACAGAGCAGAGATGCAAACTGTATACAGACCTCCAGAGCCAGTGAAAGAGGGTCCGCTTTGGAGCGACGGTCTCCCATAAAAGTCTGTATGAGCTTAAAGATGTCCACAGCCTCCTTCTTTACGCCTCGGTCTGTAGTCACAATCATTGGCTTCTTTATGGGCTCACTGCTCCAAGCTAGCATGTTGGCAATGGAAACTTTTCTCCGAAATAAACCCTACAGTAGGAAGACAGCGAACAGACATGAATCAGTCTATTCTATTACACAGCATGTTACAGTACAAAGTCAATAATAACAATAGACTTCACTATGATTTTCTTTTACAAGAGAAAATCCTATGAAAAGATCTTGCACAATACACTGCTTAGGCTACATGTAAACTAGAGTGTAAAATGTGTGTAAACAACAAAATTTCGGACAGTTTTGTGTACATGGGTGTAATCTAATGCCCGTTTTCCCCTGGCTCTAATGGACCCGGTTCCACTCTACTCAGCCTGCTTTGAGAGCATTTCCACTAGAATTTGTTCCAGTATAGTATCTGCTTTTTCAGTCCCTGCTCTGGCATAGGATCTGCCAGAGCCAAGTAGGTGCTATAATGTGACCAGGGCCATCCAGAGACCTTTACAGGGGATGGGGCTCCACTTTAAAAACGGGCACATTGAACAAGCTCTTATAACACCGTACAACAACTTAGCAACAACCCATTTTAACCAAGAATCTAATATTTCATTGGATCATTAGGCCTGTTACAATAGCAAATTCTGCTGGACGATAAATTGTTCCAGAAGTTATTATGATAAACAATAATATTGTTTTGAGACCATTTTTAAGTAATATAATGGTAACGCAAGAACACATTCTCAAAGTTCAGTAAACTTTAACTTGTAATGAACATTTAAAACTGGAACTGGAAACCATTTTAAATATCCAAAATAAATAAATAAAACAATAAATAACATTAATTTTGAAGTGTTTGTAAACACTTCCAAGAAAGGGCTAGTTGGAACCAAAACACTAAACTGAAGACTTATCATCAAGTTTTTGGTAAAAAGAGAGAAAAAAAAGAGATAAATGATAAATCAGGTCAATGGAAATTACTGAGTTTGTTTTAATTCATCATGTGATTAATTGATTTATTGATTATTGTAACAGGCCTATGGATAACACTATATCATTGTCATCATGTGGGAACAATGTATTGTGTGTTTCCCCAATAGGTATAAAGTTGCTGTTTCTGCTGCTGACAGAGCTGGAGGGCTGTGTTGATCTGTTACTGTAGGTGTTAAACACACCATAGCAAAGGTAAGATAATTTTATTTATATAGCACATTTTCAGCAACAAGACAATACAAAGTACTTTACAGGAATTAAAAGGAAATACAAACAAAATGACAAACCAAAGGAAAGAGCAAAAGTCGAAAAATAAACTAATAATGTTGATCCAAAGTAAAAAAAAAACTAGATACTCCTATTGAGGGTTGCTAGATAAGTATAAGTAAGTATCCTCTGGTCTAATTCCTTTTCTGGTTTGGAAGAATGGGAGTCTAAAAAGTAGTTGCTAAGGTTGTTTTTCTGGATTCAAAGTTCTAATTCCTGTTCTGGGTTGTTAGATAAGTATAAGTAAGTAATCTCTGGACTTTCTAAGTATGCTCTAAATTGGCAAAAGTAATGAGTTCACCACAGTTTCTAAGTGTAACAAGTTTAGAAAATGTGCCTTTATTTTTTATTTTTATAATGTTTGAAATTTCGCCAAATCCTGATTAACACTGAAGAATCCTATTTTTTTTTATATATATATATTTTAAGAATTGTATTATTTTATTTATTTTGGTAAACACTAGTACCTGTACTGTCACTTTAAGAGAATGTCTTATGACATCAGTACTGTACTACTCTCAGTTAGCGCAAGGCTAGCTGAGAAGAGGTAGGGAATTTTCTTCACTCTTGGTTAAGCTCATGTTTTATGAAATTTATAAAATAATTGAAAGTACATACAGCTGTGAATGTTTGTTTTAATACATATATTTCTTTTGACAAGTTCAGAACATGTTTTGTAAATATTAGAGCAGATATTGTTATTAGTTAGTCACAGGGTTTCTCCATGTGCTTATCTGCTGGGGGAATTCCGACTGCTGTGAATGGAAGAGCTGCATGTTAAAGAGCTTTTTTATTTCTATTTGTGCAGGGCTCTGCCAGCAACCTGCATTAAAGATCAACCAGCAGCTCCAGTGGTCTGAGTCCCTTCTTCAACTGAACACAACGCAGAACACATCAAGGTTAACCGACTGTATAAGATTAGGTTATTAGTAACCTAGAACACTACTAGTATACACTGGTTACATAAGTAATAATAAAAACTAAGTGTTCCTGTTCTGGAAGATTTTTTTCTGGATTCTAAGTTTGTTCTAATTCCTTTTCTGGGTTGCAATAATAGCAAACCCTCCTGGTAGTACTGTTAAGGTGAAGCAGAGCGAACAATGACCAGGTGGTACCAGGGCTTTGAGGTGCGCTGCAGTGACAGTCGTGGTACTGTTTCTCTATATCAGGATATCTGATTCTGACCACAGTGCTGGGACCGGCCCAGGCTGCCTGATAACATTAAAGTGAGAAGTTTTCTCTGCAGCCAAAACATTTCTGTGTTTTCCCACTATTGCAAGGACAATTACGAAAAATAAATAGAAATGGTTTTTCTAACGTCAACATCAAACCAGTGTACGTTGAAAAAAAATATTCTTGTCCATAATCTGATAGAGGGCACAGTCCCCCCCCACTCCCTCTCCTCCTTATCCAATGTCTTAACAACATGGTGGCAGAGGCACTGAGACTCAATTAGACCAAGGGCAGCCAGACTAATTTATTTAGAAAAATTGTAATAATTAGCTAACTACTATTGTCAAGGGGCACAAGCTGGCCTCCTGACGCATAGATTAAAAAAAGAACTTGGAAAAAAAAAGAAACTCAAACAAGAGCACTTGGAGCATCAGAGATAAAAGGGGCAGGGACTTTCCTCTCTCTGCCACCCCTATGCACGTGCTTGTAGTGACTCATATAAGAAGAGGTTTTGTGTAACATTCAAAGATTTTTATAAAAAAAGAATTATTTCCACTATTTTTGACTTCAGTCTGCTCCTCTTCTGGCTCACTACCTCTCCAGCTTTAGAGAAGACCCACTTGCTGGCATATGCAATCCTTTATCTTCTACCACTTTAAATGGCTCAGCATCCAGAACCACCATGTTCTACTAGTGCCTCATCCAATTAAGCTTGCTAACCTTAAAGATATACTTAAGAAAAATATTCAAACTCCTTATTTATGTCTTGATTTCTATGTGTATTTACATGATTATACTTTAAAACCATTGGATTTACCTTGCCGGGTTCAATCAGCTTCAATCCCACTTAATATCCTTACCAACATGCTCTATTTAGCATGGTTTAATAAAAAAAAAAAATGTGTCATTAAACTAAAATATTTTAAAGTGTAGGGACAAAATAACCCACAAAAACAATCTATTTTGTCCTGATTCACATGGTTGACGCCAAACAATGACTTCCTTGTTTACAGTATACAGTATAGCAGGGGTCCCCAAACTTTTTTCTGCGAGGGCCACATAACTTTTTCCTTCTCTGGTGGGGGGCCGGAGTCAGTTTGT